ATGATGTGACAGTGGTGTGTAAGAATGAGGGGAGTTTGAGGAGAGCAAGGTTGTTTGATTGATATTTACTGTATGGCGAGTGGGTTGAGAGTGAGCATGGAGAAAAGTGAATGTAAATTTTTTGGTGAGTGGGGTGAGCGTGGGCGTTGTGACTGGAAGGAGTGTAAAGGAAGTGTGAGGGTGCTTGGGGTGAAATTTGAGAGTGATTTGTTTGGGCGTGAGAGTTGGGAGGATGTGGTGAGCAAGGTGAACAAAAAAATCGGTTTTTGGTCTTTAAGGACTCTTTCCCTGACAGGGAAAGTTTTGATTGTTAAATCGGTAATTGTGCCGATCCTTCTGTTCTTATATCAGGTCTTTCCGGCTCAGGATCGGACCTTGAAGAAAATTGTTCGCTTGGTCTTCCAGTTTTTCTGGGCGTCAAAGGCAGAGAAGCTTAAACGAGTGAAGGTGGTGAAGATGAAGGCGAATGGTGGGAAGGGTATGGTAGATGTGGAGCGTTTCTTGTTTGTGAGGTATGTAGGTATGTGTGTGAAGTGGTGTAAGAGTGAGAGTTTGGCAGGGTGTATGATGAGGTATGTGGGTGGGAGTGTGCTGCGAAGGTATGGATGGGTTGGAAGAGATCTGCGGAGACCGGAGAGTTTAAGGGCTCCGTGGTTCTATGTGCGTGTGGAGAGAGGGATGGAAAAGTTTGGGTTGGGTGATGTTGAGGATGAGTTGTGGACAGATTGTAAAAAAGTGATGAACGTGTTGGATGGAAGGGAGGAAATGGAGTGGATTGGTGGGTTGACTGTGACTGAGTGCAAGATGACTTGGAAGAATATGTGTATGAAGGGTGTAGAGAACAGACAGAATGATATTGCATGGATGGGAGTGCATGGGTGTTTGCCGGTACGAGTGTTTCAGAGGAGGAGAGGGATGAGTGATACCGAGAGATGTCCGAGAGTGGGGTGCATGGGGCTTGAGAGTGTTGCGCATGTGTTTTGGGAGTGTGTTTTTGCTAGGGAAGTGTGGAAGGGTTTGGAAAAGATGGTGGAAGGTTTGAGTGGAGTGAGGAATTGTCGTATGAAATGATGTTGTATGGGGTATGGCAATTGGGCAAGGATGAAGGGCGTGTGCTATGGATGTTGGTGTGTTGTGTGAAAGAGTGGTGTTTGTGGGATGCTAGGAATGTCGGTGTATATAAGCGGGAGTGGATGAGTGTGGAGGAGTGTGTGGCTATGGTCCGGGGACGGTTGTGCAGATACGGGCACTATGACCGTCTGAAAGTGGGGGTGGAGGAGGCGGAAAAGAGCTGGCACTTCAAGTCTTGGAAGAGGTGGTCAAGTTGAGTGGGTCTGCGTCTCGGGGTTTTGTAACCCTTTTTCTTTTGGTCAGTCCTGATATATGGGCTGAGTGTGCTTAACTATATATTTTTTTTGGATTGTCTATATAACCTCAGAATTTTTTCCCTGCTGAAGCCTTATGATGTCTGGAGTATTGATGCCCCTTTTTTTGTTTTCTTACAGGCAGTAAACACTACTGGTGTGATGGATCGAAGTGTAGGGAGAGTGATAGGTGTGTTGCTTGTCTAGTGTTTTAGGGATGTATAAGGATGGTCCAACACTGGAGAGGCCTAATGAAATGGCTTTATCACCAACAGTTGACACTGGAGGTCCATCTTGAAAAGCCAGGATATGGCTAGAGCCGAATCAGCCGTGTTGGAGTTGCCGGATTTTTCCTTTTGCTGTATCTTCTGTACTGGCATGATGTTTGTGCTCCAAATTTTGTTTTTGTTTACCTTTTGTACCCATTGGTACTTGAACCTTGTGCTGTAACATGTAAAATTTTCTCTTTATTTTTTATACATATGTGTATATTTTGATGTATTTTCTTTTGGGAAAATTAATTTTAAATATGATGGGTTGTAACATTTTTTTGTATTTCTTTGACCTTTTTGAGTATTTTGGTTTTTTGTATGTAAATCTTGATGGACCTTGTGCTGAAAGAGTGTTGGAACTCTGTTTTGTGAAATTGTTTTGTACCTTTTCTAATAAAAGAATTAAAAAAAAAAATTTCAGGGAATGGTAAGAGAATCTATACAGAAATGTGTCTGTGATAAAGCTAACATAAATGACAACCTGCATAGATTTATAAAACACCATTCATATCAGTGCAATCTGGTATTGTTCTGTGAGGAAGTAAGTGAAAATTGGATGGTGGAAGTCAAGTGGATGAAGTTTATCTAAATTTTGCTACGAAATTCCATACTGTTCCTCTCAAACATTTAATCTATAAAATAAGGTCTGTTAGAGTTGATGGAAATGTATGTGCATGGATAGGAAACTGGTTACATAAACAGGTTCAGAGAGTAGTGATAAATGACTAATTTTCTAACTGGTCTAAAGCTCTGTGTGATGTGCCCAGGGTTCTGTCTTGGGGCCAATTCCATTCAGTTTGTTTATTAATGATGTAGGGATTGGAATTAAGAACTCAGTTTCAGTGTTTGCTGATAATACCAAATTGTACAATGAAATAATGTTGGCACAGGATATAGCATCATTATAGGAAGACTGTGACAAAATAGGGGGTTGGGTAGCTGCATGCCAAAAGACGTTTAATACTGAGAAATGTAAATTATCCACTTGGGTGCCAAAATTACACATTACATCTCATTGGCTGAGACAGCAGCAGGAGGCATTGGCTTCCGCAAATCACAGTCGGTCAGCCAATGAGGAGAGTGAGGGGGCGGGGTCAAGTGGGGCTCCATATGTGACCACACAGAGCATCAGCTTGGGAGAGAGCCTGCTTGGGTGCCCCCATAGCAAGCTGCTCGCCGTGGGGGCACTTGGCAGTGGGGAGGGGTCAGGAGCTCCCGGAGAGAGACCTGAGGAGCTGCTCTATGCAACACCACTGCACAGGTAGGCATGACATGCTTGTTCTTTTTTTTTTTCTTTTTAAATTGCCTTTACTATCACTGTACCTGAGGACATATGGGTATGTCCATTTATGTGAATTAAAGAAATCTCTGTAAAGACTGTAATCAATATTACAAAATCTAAAAAGGACATCATCTTTATTTCAAAGTTTGAAGTTAAATTAAAACTATAGACAATTTTTTTTTCATTTTGGATAGAGTAAGGGAGGGTTATAACCCGTCAGTTTTTTTGCCATCTCTGTCCCAAAGGTGAAATTTACCTTTACTCCCTGTCCCTCAGCCAAAACAGGAAGTGAGAGAAAATTCCTGCAAATTAAGGCAATTCCTTGGGGTGCCCCAGGTCCCCATTGGACGATTTCCCCATCTGCTATTACTGTTCTGGGGACAACACAAAACTTGGGATTTTCCTTTAATTTCACATTCAATGAAAATGATAAATAGGGTGAATCTCCACAACGGGGAACATACAGCAATAATGACCAGACAGATGTTCTAATCCATCTCCACTCTGTCCAAAACAAAAAAAAAAAGTTTTTCCTTTGGATATACAGTACTTTAAATAGTTATTGATCTGTGTTAGATTGCGGGAACATCTGCTGTTCACATTATTCAAATAGCTTTTATAGAAGGTATGGCAATAGACCAGGCTATGGAAAGATGCAAATGAATAAAGTAGAGATAAAATGATATTCAAAAGACCTAACATCCAAATTGACTAGTTATGAAGAATGATGAATAGCATTTTCAAGTAAAGTATGTAATTTAGCTATACCTGTATTTATATGAATAGCAAATGCAAGGATAGAGGTAAAGCCAAAACAAACGTTGTTGCATGGAATCCTAAAACATAGGTATAATTTAATTTTAGCCTGTCAACACTAGTCTGACTGCGTCAGAAATATTTGTAAAGCATTTAGCAAATCTCAAAGAGAATCTCAATTTTACTGGAAAAAAAGGATCTCCAGTTGTCGTTCTTTAGGTCCCAGGTGCCACCATGTTCACTGTGGGAAGCCAGCTGTGAGTCCTGGCGGCTTCACAGCCAGCTCCCCATTGTGCATGCACGAGTTGTGCTGTGCTCTATGAATGGTCCCATAGCCTTTTGCAACCTGTGACATGTCCTAGGTGGTTGTGGGTGATGCAGGAGGGGCAGAACTTCAGCTAGGATTGCCTAGGTGATTCCATATATTTGCATAGTTACATAGTTAGTTAGCCTGGTTAAACAAAGATATCAGTCCATCCAGTTTAACCAATAGAAGGGGAGAAAAAAAATGTTATACAATTGTATATATACACACACTCCTATAGTATACCCACTGTTGATTCAGGAAGGCAAAAAAGCCCACAAAAAGCATGATGGAATTTGCTCCAGCTCCTTCCTGATCCTTCTTGCTTGAGGTGATTGTAGCCATATTAGTGCACTTGCGACAGAAACAATTGAGTACTGACGTGATACTTTTTTTATTTGCACTAACATACAATTTTGAGGACAAGCTTTCGGGGTATGTCCCCTTCTTCAAGGTCCAAGCAGTACTATTAAAATGTTTTAGCAGAATGTGAGAGATGTGGGGGATGAGAATAAAAAAAAAAAAAGAAGAGCAGAAAGAAACACAAGCCTAGGGTTAGACTAGAGATAAGACACAGCAAAGCAAAAGCAAAGACTGGGGGGGGAGAACAACACTCACAGAGGGAGTCATAAAAATGTTGGATAATGATTGAGGAATCCCATGTCAAAATTAAGGCCCTTATCTCTTATGTTATTGTATCATATATCACTGATAATCACATTTGTAAATACAGTGGGGATCGAAAGTTTGGGCACCCCAGCTAAAAATTTGTATTAACCTCTTGCCGACCGCGCATAGCCGAATGACGGCTTCACCGCGGCCGGCCAGTTCTGGGTGGACGTCATATGACGTCCTCCCAGAACGCGCTCTCCTGCGCGCCCCAGGGGGCGCGCACCCGGCGATCTCCGTGATTGCTGTGTCCTACGGACACAGCTGATCACGTGATGTGGTAAAAGGCCAATCACAGCGGCCTTTTACCACTTGATCAGCGGTGTCCAATGACACACTGATCACAGGGAAATGCAAGTGCCGGTTCTCGGCTGCACTTTCCTCACGCTGTCAGATCGTGAGGAAAGTACTGCCGAGAACCGGCAGTTCTCAGAGCGGGGATCGGCACCGATCATCAGGGCACTGATGATCAGTGCCCTGATGATCGGTGCCCAGCAGTGACACCCGCAAGTTCCGCCCAGCAGTGCGCCCACTAGCTCCGCCCACCCGTGCCCAGCAGTGCCCCCACCTGTGCCCAGCAGTGCACCCACCTGTGCCACTCTGCAGTGCCACCTACCTGTGCCCAGAAGTGCCACCTACATGTGCCCAGCAGTGCCACCCACCTGTGCCCACCCACCTGTGCCCACCAGTGCCACCCACCTGTGCCCACCAGTGCCACCCACCTGTGCCCACCCACCAGTGCTGCCCACCAGTGCAGCCCAGCAGTGCTGCCAGTCAGTGCCACCAGTCAGTGCCCAGGGGTTGTGCCAGTCAGTGCCGCCAGTCAGTGCCCAGCAGTGATGCCAGTCAGTGCCGTCTATCAGTACCCATAATCAATGTCACCTATCAGTGCCGCCTATCAGTGCTGCATATCAGTGCCGCCTATCCGTGACCCCTAATTAGTGCTGTCTATCAGTGCCGCCTATCCGTGCCACCTCATTAGTACTGCCTATCAGTGCCCTTTAGTGCTGCCTATCAGTGCCCATCAGTGCCGCCTATTAGTGCTGCCTCATCAACGCACATCAGTGAAGGAGAAAAAATACCTGTTTGAAAAATTTTATAAAAGAAACAAATAAACTTTTTTTTTTTTTTCAAATTTTTTGCACTTTTTTTATTTATAGCGCAAAAAGTAAAGCGCCCAGTGGCGATTAAATACCACCAAAAGAAAGCTCTATTTGTGAGAAAAAAATGATCAAAATTTCATATGGGTACAATGTTGCATGACCGCGCAATTGTCAATCAAAGTGCGTCAGCGCTGAAAGCTGAAAATTGGCCTGGTAAGGAAGGGGGTATAAGTGCCTGGTAGGCAAGTGGTTAATGTGCATAAAGAAGCCAAGGAAAGATGGAAATATCTCCAAAAGGCATCAAATTACAGATTAGACATTCTTATAATATGTCAACAAAAGTTAGATTTTATTTCCATCATTTACACTTTCAAAATAACAGAAAACAAAAAAATGGCGTCTGCAAAAGTTTGGGCACCCTGCAGAATTTATAGCATGCACTGCCCCCTTTGCCAAGCTGAGACCTGCCAGTGTCATGGATTGTTCTCAATCATCGTCTGGGAAGACCAGGTGATGTCAATCTCAAGGTTTTAAATGCCCGGACTCATCTGACCTTGCCCCAACAATCAGCACCATGGGTTCTTCTAAGCAGTTGTCTAGAAAACTGAAAGTGAAAATAGTTGACGCTCACAAAGCTGGAGAAGGCTATAAGAAGATAGCAAAGCGTTTTCAGATGTCAATATCCTCTGTTCGGAATGTAATTAAGAAATGGCAGTCATCAGGAACAGTGGAAGTTAAAGCAAGATCTGGAAGACCAAGAAAAATATCAGACAGAACAGCTCGCAGGCTTGTGAGAAAAACAATTCAAAAACCCACGTTTGACTGCACGATCCGTCCAGAAAGATCTGGCAGACACTGGAGTTGTGGTACACTATTCCACTATAAAGAGATACTTGTACAAATATGGTCTTCATGGAAGAGTCATCAGAAGAAAACCTCTTCCACGTCCTCACCACAAAAATCATTCGTTTGAACTTTGCAAATGAACATATAGACAAGCCTGATGCATTTTTGAAACAAGTTCTGTGGACCGATGAGGTTAAAATGGAACTTTTTGGCCGGAATGAGCAAAGGTACGTTTGGAGAAGAAGGGGCACAGAATTTAATGAAAAGAACCTCTGTCCAACTGTTAAGCATGGGGTTGGATCAATCATGCTTTGGGGTTGTGTTGCAGCCAGTGGCACAGGGAACATCTCACGAGTAGAAGGAAAAATGGATTCAATACAATTTCAGCAAATTTTGGATGGTAACTTGATGCCATCTGTGAAAAAGCTGAAGTTAAAGAGAGGATGGCTTCTACAAATGGATAATGATCCTAAACACACCTCGAAATCCACGGGGGATTACATCAAGAGGCGTAAACTGAAGGTTTTGCCATGGCCTTCACAATCTCCTGACCTCAACATAATTGAAAATCTATGGATAGACCTTAAAAGAGCAGTGCGTGACACACAGCCCAGAAATCTCAAAGAACTGGAAGACTTTTGTAAGGAAGAATGGGCAAAGATACCTCAAACAAGAACTGAAAGACTCTTGGCTGGCTACAAAAAGCGTTTACAAGCTGTGATACTTGCCAAAGGGGGCAGTACAAGATATTAACTCTGCAGGGTGCCCAAACTTTTGCAGACGCCATTTTTTTGTTTTCTGTTATTTTGAAAGTGTAAATGATGGAAATAAAATCTAACTTTTGTTGACATATTATAAGAATGTCTAATCTGTAATTTGATGCCTTTTGGAGATTTTTCCATCTTTCCTTGGCTTCTTTATGCACATTAATACAAATTTTTAGCAGGGGTGCCCAAACTTTCGATCCCCACTGTACATGCGTAAGCTACACAGACTCGTCACAGCACCCCAGTATTCTGTAGTTTCTAACTCATCAAATTTTAAGAGCCCCCATAGTAGAGGCACATGTATTTAATGGATAGACCAAGAGCAGGTGGACCTAAGGGAGCCCACCCCTCTTTAAAGGTATAGGAGCACACTGGACACCCAGCATGTAGCACAATGGTAGCCAAGGTGTCCAGCGTGCCCCTTTGATCAACAATTCAACAGAACAAAAAACGGCCACTGCCCTAGTCTGTAACTGGCCTTCACAACAAGGAGAACATGGACGGGTGATGCATGTCAAACAACATGCTGGGATCACTAAATATTTGTGTTTCCCTCCTGTGGGGAAAAGTTGGCCCCAGTAATTCTAGCCATTTTGTTTCGGTCTTGCTTTCATTCACCCAGTTGTCTCTTTGCAACATAGACATAATGTAGCATAGTGTAGTCTTCTGGGGAATCCAGTGATATGGAAAAAGACCCCCTCCTCCTCTACGGTGAAGAAGATAGAAGACATGGGACTCACTGCATCACATGACCATGGATTTAGCTAAGAAAAAAGGGATTTTGGCTTGGTTGGAATAGGGTGAGGGTCATTGTCCAGAATGCTTTGTCCTATTTCTTTAAGCCAATTGGTTACTACAAATTAGTCACTGATTGATAAGTTTTAAATAAAATGTTCTGATTGCTCTTTATACTTGGAATATTTACAGCTCCATGGAAATGTGCACAAAGGAAAATTACATGTGTGCATAGCTGATGGGTTTGGCAATATACAGGATGACCTGCATTAATGTAAGAATATTTGCTCACTACATAGGCCATCTTGATGGATGTGGAATAGTTGCTATTTATGTTTGCTGTGATATGTTATTGTATCATAGAGTACTGTAAGTTGATTGCATTTAGGACCTGTTCAAATTTGACTATTGTTCACAAACCACTATTGTTGTGTCATTGCAGTAACCTGCATTTATCAATGAGACAAAATGTAGGTACCTGCTATTAGGACATTGCTCCTCTTTCTGATACTGTATGTGTATGCTTTGGTTATATTTATGTGTAGTGCTACCCCTGCAGGAGCCGCTGAATTTAACTGGTTTGTTTTGGATAAAGTAGGGGATAGATGGAACACCTGTCATGCTTTTTGTTATCTGCGACTAAAATTAAAAACATTTTCAGACATTGTTTCACATCCTCACTTCCTACTTTAAACAGATGAATGCCTTACTTACTAGCATTGTTTGGGCCAATCACCGACCCTGACTATGCTGTTTGCGCTTGACTTTACCTAAAACATATAGTGGCCTGGCATTTCCATATTTATACAAATATTACGCAGCTCCTCATTTACTCAGAATAATCAATTGGTGCCACCATTTTTCCTTCCAAAATTGTCTGAAGCTTGAGCAAGCATCTTCTGTTATCCTTCTGAACAGAGCCCCATGGTATTTGGCAGACATACAGTCAGTCTCAACCTAAAAAACACATTGTGCAATTAGTCCTACGCTCCAACTTTGTGCCTCTTCTTTTCAGAAATTAGACCTATCGTTAGCCAGTTTGCCCCTTTATCCTCTTCTCTGCAATACACATTTTGTTTTTAGCATGGGAAAAGCTGTGTTTAAGACATTATTAACCTTTCAACGCTTTCAAAACTCCCCTTTTATCCTCATTAAGCCTTAACAAGTAGGCATGGACCTTTTGGCCTCAAGGTCAAGGTCTCAAGGTACCCAGAAACTGACTGGAGTATTGGCACTGCAGGAACAGTTAAAGGGCAAAAATTTATAAACCTACTACAGGACAATTTTGTGGTACAGTTCATAGAGGCCCCAACTAGAAACAATGTTCTGCTAGACCTGGTAATCTCAAACCATGCAGAGCTTATTACTAATGTCCATATAAAAGAACATCTGGGTAGCAGTGAACATAACATGATTTCATTTATTGTTAGCTGTAAACAACAAGCACATACAGGAAAAAAAAAAAATGCTAAAATTTAAGAGAGTTTATTTTCCAAGGCTGAGAGCTGCTCTCCAAGACTTAAACAGGGAGGGAATATTGGCATTGATTATCACGTACCTGGTGATGGAGGCCAATGGAGAGAGGGCTTCCCTTGCGGCTAAGTTCCGGACTCCCCTGAGAGTGAGACAGCGGGAGTCAGGCCCAAAGTTGCACAGGTCGCCTGTAGGAGTGCTAGTTGGTGGTCAAGTCAGAAGCACAGTTGGTGCACGGAGATAGGTCTGCAGACAGGAGGCGCCTGTGCGTGGTATGCAAGCCCTTCCGGGATTTAGGTGTTTACTGGGTAGTCGGTTCAAGCCATGGTCAGGTACCAGGTGGGAATCAGAGCAGACGTAGTCAGATGGGATAGCCGAGGTCATACACAGAGGAGAGAGAGAGAGCATCCGTAAGCCAGACCGAGGTCAGATCAGGGGTAAGGCAGAGTAGACAGGTCCAGGAGCAAGCAGAGTCGGTAACAGGAGATCACGGGTCAAGTCACAGGAAACAGGAACAGGGCACGGGGAGCTAGAGATCATCCAGAAAACAGAGGAAGTGATGAGCCTCCTTATAAAGGCAGTCTGGCACCAGACTGAAGCTGATGTGTCCTTCTGCGGCCATGTAGAGTATTGGCAGAAATGCCAGTGTCACGGAATGGGAAGATCGCCATGGCGATCGAATCTGCACATGCATAGAATCCTGACAAAACGTACAGGCAGGAGGGCACTAGGACCCAGGCGCGCCTGTTACCAATGACGGTGCCGGGCAAGCACTAGGACCCAGGAGCGCCTGTCAGGAGTCGGGCGG